TCCACTTGCCTCTGCCTCCTGAGTGCTGGGATTAAAGGTGTGCGCCACCACGCCCCATTGTTTTTAACTTTTTAAAAATTTATTATTTTTTATTTAATTTAATTAATTAATTTATTTGTTTTGAGGACAGGGTCTCCCTGTATCCTCAGCTGGCCTGGAACTTGCTATATAGAACAGGCTGGCCTCACAGAGATCCACCTGCCTCTGCCTCCCACCACCACCTCTGCTATTTTTCTTTTTTAAAAATTTTATTTACTTTTTTTTTTTGTCCTTTTGAGACAGGATCTCTCTGTAGCCCCAGCTGTCCTGGAACTCACTATGTAGACCAGGCTGGCCTCAAACTCACAGAGATCTGCCTGCCTCTGCCTCCCGAGTGCTGGGATTAAAGGCATGTGCCACCACGCCCAGAATTTTTTTTACTATTTTAATTTTATGTATATGGGTGTATTGCCTGCATGTATGTAAGTGCACCCACGTTGTGTAATACCCACAGAGGTCAGAAGAGGGTTTTGGATCCCCTGGAACTGTAGTTATAGACAGTTGTTAGTTACCATGTAGGTGCTGAGAACTGAATCAGGCCCTCTGGAAGAACAGGTAATGTTCCTAACTGCTGAGCTATCTCTGCAGCCCCTGATTTATTATTTTTGGGTTTTTCTTTTTTGTTTGTTTGTTTGTTTGTTTGTTTGAGACAAGGTTTTCCTGTAGTCCCAGCTAGCTTGAAACTTTCTATGTAGACCAGGCTGGACTTGAATTCACAGAGATCCTCCTGCCTCTGCCTCCTGAGTGCTAGGATTAAAGGTATGTACCACCACACCTGGCTTGTTGTATTTTTTTAATGTGTATGACTGTTTTGCCTATATTTATGTAAGTACACCACATGTGTGCAATGCCTGCAGAGGCCAGATGACAGTGTCAGATCCCTGGAACTGAGTTACAGAAAGTTGTTGACCTCCATGTGGGTGCTCAGAACTGAACCCAGATCCTCTTCAAGAGCAGCTAGTGGTCTTAACCACCAAGCCATCTCTCCAGCCCCTCCTTCTTTTGAGACAGAGACTCATGATGTAGCCTTGGCCTACCTGGAATTTGCTGTGTATACCAGTCTGGCCTCAAACCCAGAGATCTGCCTGCCTCTGCCTCCAGAGTACTGGGCTTTAAGGCATGTACCTGGTAGACTGGAGCTTCTGCTCCACCTGCCTCTACCTCTTTGCAGTTCCTGGAAGTGAACCCAGGGTTCATGCATGCCAGGCAATCACTCTCCCAACTAAGCTGGTCGGGGTGTGTTTTGTTTCATTTTGTTTTTTGCTTTTAGTGAGACAGGGCCTTGGGGAACTGGTCTTGAACTCCTGATCCTCCTGCCTCTGCCTTTCAAGGCAGAGATTACAGGTGTGCATCACCACACCTGGCTAGATTTTATTTTGCTTTGGTTTGGCTTGGTTTTTTGAGATGGGATTTGACACTCTGAAGTGCTAGAATCGCAGGTATAAACCACCACCATGCCAGTGAACTGCAGTCTTCTAGTGTCTTTAAGGGATGGCCCTAGATGTATTTAGGACTCACCATAAGCAAATCTATAACTGCCAAACTGGGTTGTGAAAACTTGCCAAAATGCAGAAAGAAAACCACTTAAATCCAAACCAGAGCAGAAGGTGCAGGGCACAGGTCTTTGGGGAGCTGGATTCAGTGGTTAAGTATCCCATCAAGCCTTTGGTTTCTGTCTTCTATCATCTATCTATCTATCTATCTATCTATCTATCTGTCTGTCTGTCTCTCTGTCTGTCTGTCTGTCTGTCTGTCTGTCTGTCTATCATCTATCTATCTTCTATTATCTATCTGTGTGTGAGAAAGAGAATAACTTGTGGGAGTCAGTTCTCACCTTCTACCATGGGGTTTGAACTCAGGCTTGAAGCTAAGTTTCCAAGACCCTGTTTTGTTTTTGTTTACTTTTGAATGCTGGTGATTGAACCCATGGGCTTCCTAGGGATTAAGTTAACACTTTACCATTGAGCTATACCCCATCAGGCCCAGCCCAAGCCCCTATCTTTCTTTCTCCCTCTCTCCCTTCCCTTCCCTTCCCTCCCCTCTCCTCCCCTTCCCTCCCTCTCTCTCTCTTTCCCTACTAGGCCTGGGTTTATGAGGTCCTGGGAACCAAGGGCTTTTGTGCATGTTAGATAAGCATTCTACCAGCTGAGCTACACTCCAGCCCAAACCTTGCTTCTTGATTTGGGATGTGGAAATATAGTACCTTTCCTCTTAGACGAGTTGAATGAAGCAGAAGGAGACAGCGAATGGATTTCTAGAAGGAAAAGGTTACAACCAAAAGGAAACAAGCCAGTCCCATGGCCATGTTAGCCCTGCCCTCCAGGAAACTTGGGGTAGACCACCTCATTTTCTTTCTCCTCATTCCACAAACATCTTCACTAAGGAAGTGTGTGTGTGCATGCGTGCGTGCGTGCGTGCGTGTGTGCGTGCGTGCGTGTGTGTGTGTGTGTGTGTGTGTGTGTGTGACCCAAGAGAACTGCTAGAGGTCCTGGTCATCCATTCTACTTCTCAATTATCTGCGGCCCAGATAGGAGAGTGCATAGAGCTTGACAGAGGCTGTCTCTTGTCACTGCGAAAATAACTCCCTGACTATAGCTTCAAAAATATAAATTATAAACTGCTCTCTGGTATAAATTATTCCCCTGGGAGCTTGTTGAGCATGATCCACTTATCTGCAGGGCTGATCGCTACTTAAACCCTGCCCAAGTAGCTGAGAGCCTGTTTTATGACAAACAGGAGCAAGAAGCCCAACTGAAATTCAGGGGTAGCATTTCCCTTAAGCCAGTGCTCTAATATGTTTGCTTGGGAATAGCCAGGCAGGTCAATTGGGTGTAACACCCTTCTTCTCCCTCCACACCAGGGCATAACCAGGAACCTGGCATGGTGGTACACGTGTGTAATCCTCACACTCTGAGAGATGGAGGCAGGGGAATCAGGAGTTCAGGGTCAGCTTGTGCTACTTGAAATTCTCAAAAAGAAGAGGAGGAGGAGGAAGAGGAGGAGAGAAAGAAGGAGGAGGAGGAAGATGAGGAGGAGGAGGAGGAAGAGGAGGAGGAAGAGGAGGAGGAGAGAAAGAAGGAGGAAGATGAGGAGGAAGAGGAGGAGGAGGAAGAGAGAAGAAGGAGGAGGAGGAAGATGAGGAAGAGGAGGAGGAGAAGGAACAACCCAGGGGCTGACAAGACAGCTCAGCAGGTAAAGGTGCTTGCTGTCAATCCTGACAACCTGATTTCGAGCACTGGAAAGTACACCATGGTAAGAGAGAACTGATTCCTGCAATTTGTCCTCTGACCTCCACAGGCAAGGCGTGGCATGTGTGCCCACACACATACACACACTGTAAATAAATAAATGTTAAAAGAAACCCAAATAGGAACAACAAACAGTAATAGACACCAGAAGTCCAGGTTAGGACTTTGACACTAGACACTTTGAAGACCTGCTGCAGAGGTGAGGGGCTGGGGTTACAACAACATACTCTACATCTTGCTTCTCCAAAGAAATCACCCCACATCTGTTTCTGTCTATTCCCCTTCAAAGTAGATTCCAAGCACTCGCCTTGTCCCTGATTTCTCAGAACCGTCACATTGCCCTGAGCAAGGTGGAGTACTTTATTATCAATGTTCTTGCAGCCCAAGATTGAGGCTCCCAGGCTTGTGACTCGGCCTTGGTCACATGATTGGTAAGAAGTTGAGCTGGAACTCCAGGTCTGCTGACCAGAGTGGACTGCCCAGGTGTCAAAACCCTCAGGGTTCCCAGAGGAGGGGCTGGTGAGGGGACCTGCTTTAGTCCCTGACCACTCAGATCTGGGTCCCAGCTGTAGGGGGCAGACTGCCTCATGGCCTTTCTGCTCATCCATAAAATGAGCCAGAAAATACCACTTCTCCAGCAGATGTGTACACGTGGGGTGCTGGAACTCATATTAAAAAAAAAAAAAAAAAACCCAAGATTTTATATATTTATTTATTTCATTTTTTTGGTATTTTTGAGACAGGCTCGCCCTATAGCCCCAGCTGGCTGGGAACTCACCATGTAAACTAGGTTGGCCTCGAACTCACAGACATCTGCCTGCCTCTGCCTCCAAAGTGCTGGGACTAAAGGTGTGCACCATCACACCCAGCTCTTATTTATTATTTTTATTTTATGTGTATGAGTGTATTACCTGCATGTGTGTAAGTGCACCCCTGACCTGCAGTGCCCTCAGATGTCAGAAGAGGGGATTGGATCCCTTGGAACTGGAGTTATAGACAGTTGTTAGCCACCATGTAGGTGCTGGGAATTAAACCTAGGTTCTCTGTAAGAGTAGCCAGTGCTCTTAACTGCTGAACCATCTCTCCAGCCCCATGGAACTCACATCCTAAGCATGCCAGGCATGGCATGTGTTCTACTACTGAGCCTCCCTCCCCACCAATGAGATAACAGTATAGGAAGCCCAACACAGGGTCTGAGGTGGAGTTAGACATCAATAAAGGCCATTCACCAGAAGGTCTGTTTTCCCTAAGGCACAACCCAAAGTGGATGGAACCCTTAACACTCTACCCTCTCACGTTTTAAATTTTTTTAGAAAGGTTCTCCCTGTAGCCCCAACTGGCCTGGAACTCGCTATGTAGACTAGGCTAGTCTTGATCTCACAGAGATCTGCCTGCTTCTGCTTCCCAAGTGCTGGGACTAAAGGCGTGCGCCACCTATTTATGATAATGCAGCTTCAAATTCTACAGCTTCAAGATCAACTAGGGGTTGGAGAGATGGCTCGATGGTTAAGAGCACTATCTGCTCTTGCAGAAGACCTGGGTTTGATTCCCAGCACCCACATGGTGGCTAACAAGTGTCTGTAACTCCAGTTCCAGGAGGGCATTGCACACACAGGTACACTTACATGCAGACAAAACACTTTTACACAGAAAATAAAAAGTTTTTTTAAAAAGTCAATTAGTTAATTTAGTGAGTTCATTTGGGTTTTTTTGTAGTCTTTCAGCAATCTTTTTTTTTTTTTTTCCATCTTTTTGAGACAGGGTCTCTCTGTAGCCCCCGCTGTCCTAGAACTCACTATGTAGACCAGGCTGGCCTTGAACTCAGAGATCCGCCTGCCTCTGCCTCCCGAGTGCTGGGATTAAAGGCGTGCACCACCATACCTGGCTAATCTTTCAGCAATTCTATCTCAGCCTCCCAAATACTTCTCCAGCACATGTGTGCACATGGGGTCCTGGTGTGAGCCACCATGCCTGGCAGTAGCTTTTGTGAGTTTAGTTTTGTTGTTGAGGTAGGGTCTCTCTGTTGCCCAGGCTAGCCACAAACTCTTTAAGTAGCTGAGGTTAAAGATGAACTTGATATTTTTTTTTTCCCTTTTGATCCTAGGGCCTCCATGTTCCCATGGACATGTACCAGCACACCTGGGGTGCTGGGGATGGAACCTAGGGCTTGTGCAATCTAGGCCAGCACTCTCCCTGCTCAGCCATAGCCTCATGCCCCCTGCTTCAGCAGGTTTTTCATTTGTTTGTTGATTGTTTGGCTTTTGGGGACAGGGATGGCCTGAACTTGCTATATAAATCGGGCCAAACTTGAACTCACAGAGACCCACCTGGCTCTGCCTCCCAAGAGCTAGGGTTACAGGCCTACATGCCACCATGCCAGAACCTCCTGCAGTAGTTTTTGTTTTGTTTTGGTTTTGTTTGTGTTTGTGTTTTTTTGGTAGTTCTAAGATAGTACCCAGAGCCTCGCACAAGCTTGTCTGCCGCTGAGCCCCAGTGTTTTTTTTTACTTTTTCAAAGTTCTTCCTTAACTGTCACCTCTGAAGATCTTCTGACTTCCCTGTAAATTAAGTAGAACCCATGGGGACACCTATAATCCCAACACTCTGGAGGCTGAAACAGGAGGATCACCTGTTAGAGATCAGCCTGGGCTGCATAGTTGAGACCCTGTCTAAACAAAAACAAAAAAGAAAGACAAGCAGAACCCAGAGGTGGTTCCTTCTCATCTAATGTGGACAGTGAGGTAGGAGGCTCAGGAGGATTCTGACAGTTCAGGCTTTAGAACCCTCTACTGGGCCAAGTATGACCTTGAACTCTAGACTCTCCTGCTTAGACCTCTCACTAGCAAGGGATTATGGGCATGCTCACCACACCCTTTGCTTTTCCAGTACCCAGTTCTGTGTTACTGGAAATTCTGTACATTTCCCTTTCTACCTTTGGAAGTAGATGCTTGAAGTCCTAAGTGCGAGCTCAGGATTGATTGCTTTAAGAAGGAATACAGTGAGCGAGGGTTAGGGACGGTGCCCTGGGATTCAGCACTTGCCGAACATGTGCAAGGTATGTGTGGGGGGTGGGGTGGGGTTCCGTTTCCATCCTCAGCACCGAACAAAAGAAAACGGACTCAGGCAATGGGAGCAGCCCAGAGACCCCCAACTCTCAGTACACTTGGCCTCCTGCACAGATGAAGGCCTTGGGCTGGGGGTACAGCTCATGGGTGGAGAATGCACTTAGCTTGCTCCAAGCCCTGGGTTCATCCCCAGCCACAGCACGAAAATGCTCAGCTTGGGGGTTGGAAAAGGCAAAGCAGGATAAGGGGCAAATTCCATCTGCAGCCCGAGACCAGCTGGGCACTGATGCCTACAGCCAGTCGGAGGGTTGGAAGGTCAAAGGGTGCTGAGATTCCAGCACTTACTCGGCCTCTGCATATCTTAGAACACTGGGAACAGCCCTGGGTGCACCTCAATTTCCTTATTTATAACAGGAAGTCAGATTAGATAATGTTTCTCTACTACCTTCCTGATAACCCCAGAGAGATTTTGCTGGAGGACAACAGTGACACATTATGGACACACACACACACACACACACACACACACACACACACACACACACACGCAAGCACGCACGCACAGTACACACCCAGGGTTTTTCCTGGTATCCCTGACTGATTGGCCTTGAACTCCAAACCCTCTGGCCTTAGCCATTCAGATTCCTGAGATTGTATACCCTGCCACACCTGGCACTTAATGGAAACTGTATTAAAATATTACTATAGCTGGGCTTGGTGGCATAGGCCTTTGATTCCACGATCTCAGCACTCGGAAGGAAGATGCTGGTTGAGAGCATAGGGAGATCCTGTCTCAAAACAAAACAAAAAACACCCCGCCTCCAAAACCACACCACAACAACTTTATTATACAGGGCTGGAAAGATAGCTTAGTGGTTAAGAGCACTGGCTGCTTTTGTAGAGGACCTGGGTTCAGTTCCCAGCACCCACACGGCAGCTAATAACCTACCATAACTGAGGTTCCAGGGGATCCAACACCCTATTCTAGCCTCTTCGGGCATTGCATGCACATGGTGCACTTATATACATGCAGGCAAAACACTCAGACATAAATATAATAATATATAAATAAATAAAACATTCATACACATAAAATTAAAAATAAAGACACATGCCTTTAATCCCAACACTCAGGAGGCAGAGGTAGGTGGATCTCTGTGAGTTCAAGGCCAGCCTGGTCTACACAGTGAGTTCCAGATCAGCTGGGGCTACAGGGAGACCTGTTTCAAAAAGGCCAAAAAAACATTTTTTTTAAACTTTATTATAATGAAAACTTTCCAAAAACTTCAATTACATGATATACACAATGATGCATTATTCGACTGTCCAGTTTATATTACACAGTAATATGATGAACTCCATGTATCCATCCCTGACTTCTGATGTTCTTGTTTTGGTTTGGTTTTCCCAGACAAACAAAGACAAGGCCCTTATAGCTCAGGTTGGCCTCGGACTCACTATGTAGCCGAGGATGACTTGGAACTCCTGATCCTCCTGCCTCCATCTCCTGAGAACTGGGATTTCAGGCCTGAGCCACCACACCTGGCTTTAGGTGCCACTGGGGATTGAACCAGGGCTTCCTGTGTGTTAGGAACTAAAGTTACAGATGTTGTTAACTGCCACGTAGGTGCTGGGAACAGCTCCCCATTCCTCTGCCAAAGCTGCAAGTACTTTTAACCACTGAGCCATCTCTCCAGTCCCAATTCATTTATTTTTTGGCCTAGGACTCACAGAGATCCTCCTGTGTCTGCTTCCCTAGTGCTGGGATCATGCCCAGCCAGATGTTTATTTCTTATAGTTCTTTTTTAAGGTGAAACTTTCATATATTAAAGTGCAGGCTGGTGGGGCTTAAGAGATGGCTCAGCGGTTAAGAGCACTGACTGCTCTTGCAGAGGACCTGGGTTTGATTCCCAGCACCCATATGGTGGCTGCGAACCGTCCTTAACTCCAGTTCCAGGGGAATCCGAAGCCCTCTTCTGACCTCCGCAGCATTGTATGACATGGGTGCATTCACATGCAGGCAATACCCTCATACGCGTAAAATAAAAATAATAAATAAAATAAAGTGCAGCCTGGGAACTAATTTGACTGAGTGCTTCCCTAGCATGCACAAAGCCCGGGGTTGGATCCCTAGTACTTCATAACCTGGTGATGGAGGTACATGCCAATAATTAACAGCAAGCAGGACTTGGTGGCACACACTTTTAATCCCGGCACTTGGGAGGCTGAGGCAGGCAGATCTCTGTGAGATAGAGCCAAGCCCGGTCTACACAAGCGGTTCAGGGCCAGCTGGGGCTACAGAGAGATCCTGTCTCAAACAAACAAAAAGAAAAAAAAAGAAAAGTTCAGAAATCTGAACTGGACTGGGGATGCCATCAGTTGGCAGATGAAGGCATAGGGATATTCAAGGACATTCAATTTGGCTAAATGGAGAGTTTGAAGCCAGCTTTTGGGCTATATCACACCCTGACTCTAAACAGACAGACAGACAGGATAGAGATAGGTAGATGATTGATAGAAGATAGATGATAGATAGATGGGTAGATAGATAGATAGATGATAGATAGATAGATAGATAGATAGATAGATAGATAGATAGATAGATAGATAGATGATAGAGAATGAACAAAAAAAATATTAAACCCTGGCATTTTTCTCCAGGCTTCAACTGAGGTATACCTTGCCTCTCTCCACCCCTGCCGTCCCGAGTCCCTGAAGCTTGGCGCTTTCTCCTTCATGTCTGCTGTGAGGCCTTTACTGCTCTAGGTGCCAACTGTTCAGGCTTGCTGGTCCTTTTCCTCCACCCCAGCTCTGCCCTGTGTTTTTAATTTCCCTTTTCTTTCCTACAGCTGCCTTCTCAAATCTGTTGCAAATTTCTCTGCTCTACAGCGTTTTTAACTTTCCTGGCATCTCCTTTCATCTTGCTGCCGTTTGTCTGTTTTGTTTACGTCCTGGACGCTGGATAGCAAGCCATAACCTCAGGGATCCATCTAGCCCAGGCTGGACGTGATCAGCATGGGGGAGAGTGAATGAATGAATAAACGAATGAGTGAATGAGTGGATGAATGAATGAATACAGTGGAGGACATCTTCTGGATCCACCTGCAGTTCAGTGGCGTGGTCAGCCTTGTTGATTGTGGGCCATGATTTTCTCTGTGCATCAAGCTTGAAGCTACTTATCTGTCTGTCCACTTGGAAGCCTCAGCATTTGAAAGGAAGGAGGCTCATTTCCTGGCACAGTATAACTTTGTGGACCATCTTCCTCTCACCTCCCAACAACAACAAAAACACCACCACACACACAGAGACACAGACACACAGACAGACACACAGACACACACACACACACACACACACACACAGCAAGTTGGCTATCAGGGACAATTTCCTGTTTTCCTCTCTTAAAAGCATCCTGGATAGAAGAACTAAGGCATCAAAAAGACTGCCTGCCTCTGGGGACCTGGGACAGGATTTTAACCCTCTGCTATTGCCCACATGTGAGTTGCATAGTCAGGCAGGCTTGATGTCCCAGGTGGATTTTATGGGCAGCTGGGGAACAAATCCAGGACTTCCTGCATGTTTAGTGAGCACTCTACCAACTGACCGCCATCCTCAGCCCAGATTTTAACCTTTTTTTAAAATTTATTTTATGTGTATGAGTGTTTTGCCTGCATGTATGTGAGCATCACGTGCTTGCAATGCACACAGAGGTGAGAAGAGGACGTAGGATCTCCTGGAACGGGAGTTCTGGATACTTGTTAGCTGCCATGTGGGTGCTGGGAAGGGAACCCAGGTCCTCTGCAAGAGCAGGCAGTGCTCTTAGCCGCTGAGCCAGCTATCCAGCCCCCAGATTTTAACTTCTTCAGGGCCATTCATTAATTATCAGGCGGTTCTGCCTCTGCCAAGTACCAGCTTCATGTGAAGATTTAGGGATACAGAAGTAAGTACGATGGGGTCACCCACCTCACCAACCATAATGACCCCAAGTGCTGATGAGATAAAGGATTACCCTCTTCAGTTAGTCCTCACTGCATACACTGCAGGCTCACAGCATACTCTTCGGCATGTTTCAAGCAAGGCCCCTTGGAAGTAAAATAACTGGCCAGGAGCACATGACTGGTGGGAGTCAGGGCTGGAGTTGGAGCCCAGTGGGCTGGCAGCTGGCACCCGCCTGACGTTTGGAGACCTGCCTTCCTGTCTGCAACGTGTGAGTGACTCACTGCTAGTAGTTTTTACAAATGCAGTTTATCTCTGGGCTTGGCCAGGCGGCTTCTGAGGAACAGGTTTGTTTACATCTTACTGTACCCAGCTACTCTAGAGCAGAGGTGAGGGAGCTCAGCTGGAAGCCACCAGAAGACCTGAACAGACTCTGCGGTCACCTAGGGGCTACATCTGCTTGGGGCCATGTCAGACTCTTGCTTCCTGGCTCCTATTTCCAAAATAGATCGGACTTCCCAGATTTGTTTTGTTTTATTTGTGTGTGTGTGTGTGTGTGTGTGTGTGTGTGTGAGAGAGAGAGAGAGAGAGAGAGAGAGAGAGAGAGAGAGAGAGAGAGAGAGAGAGAGAGAGAGGTGTATCTCAGGCTGGTCTCAAACTCAATATGTAGTATTTATTTATTTATTTATTATTTATATTTTTTTGAGACAGGGTCTTCTTCCTATAGCTCCAGCTGGCCTGGTACTCACTACGTAGTACAGGCTAGCCTCGACCTCACAGAGATCCACCTGCGAAGTGCTGGGAGTAAAGGCATCTGCCACAAATACCTGACTTCCAATTCTTTATGTAGCAGAGGATAAGAATGACCTTGAACTTCTGGCTCCTCTGGTCTCTACCGCTATCCTGCCGGGATCACAGATATGTACCACCACACCAGGTTTATGTGGTGCTGGGGATCCAACCCAGGGCTCCCAGCTTGCATTTTACCAACTGAGTCCCATCCCCAGCCCAGATTTGTTTTGTTTTGTTTTGCATTCTTTCCAAAGCCTCCAGTTGAGGCTCTGAGTGGTGTGTGAACAGACCCCAAATCACAGAGCTTGACTCCTACAGGGTTTCAGAGTAGGTTTGACTAACTCCAAAAGTGTGCACTTTAATCTCCCCCCCCCCCCTTCTGATGCTAAGTTTGGCCAGGGAAGCAGGAACTCCTTTCCTGCCCAGATCCCTGACAAACTCTAAGTGGCTGGTGAGGGTAGCCAGTAACCTTGAGATCCATTGAGCAGGGACGCCTGATATGAAAGAATCTTAAGGCACATATGATTCTGCAGTTCTATCTCTTTAAGAACCAGGGCTCTAATGCCAAGCCTCCTGCGTGATCCTCAGAGATTTCTAGGGTAGGGGAACTGCATTGAACGTGCGCTGACATACAAGTACAAAAAGACCTCAGCATTTTCACCTCGCCTCAGTGGCTCTGCCCCCCCCCACCGCGCCCCATTTATTTATTACCGCGCTATTCCCCAGCCCTACTGCTGTGTAAATACTGATAAAAGCAATCGCCCTACAAACAGGTGCAGCTGGGAGCTGCCCCTTGGACAGCTGCCAGGGAAATGTGATCACTCAGCTGGGGCAACCTGGCTCAGCTGGGGTGACCTCCCCCTGCCCAACCCCCTCTTGAGTTCCAGCTCTGGGCAAGTGTCCTTGGATGGTTCCTGTGGTCTAAAGGTCCAGCCTGGCATCTCGGTTGGCATTACAGACTCAGACCAGTGTGTGAGGTTGGGGTGGGTGTGGACCGGAAGGAGCCAGAGCTCCCGGAATTATCTATTTTTTCTTTCAGTTTCTTCGAACAAATTCAGATAATACTGTCACCAACTCCCTTACAAGTATTCGACAATATTTCCTAAGAACACCACTGACCGATGTTTCTAGGTAAGAAATATTTTACTAGGAAGTGACTATGATCAAAATATGCTTTATACGTGTATGAAAATGTCATAATGAAACCTATTATCACGTATAATTACTATATGCCAATAGAACAACTCTTCAAGGAAAATACAGTATTTTGAATATGTTTTTAAATCTGTGTTTTTCCCCCCAGGCTCATCGGTTTCCAAATTCACACGCGTACACAGCAAGCCCAAAAGGGATTTTCCGGACACCCCATTTAGCTACCGGTTTACCTAAATAAACATTTTCTGAGCCAGCCTCCCTTTATCCATGATGCATATTGGATGATACCAAACCCTGTGACTTTGCGGTTTGAAAAAGATTCTATTTCACCACCCCTCCCCCATTTCTGTTTGGTCCCTTAGCATCACTTCCCCGCATCCCCAGGGCACCAGCCTCTCCGGAAATACCCAGGCTAGGCGGGTAGCCTCCACTCCCCGAGGACGGGGCGGTGACAAACTGAGCTGCAGGGCGGACCGAGCCAGGGACAGGGGGCTGTCGCCGGTCGCTGAGCCACCCGCTGCTCCCAGGAGGGAGGGAGGGAGGAGTTTGCTATGCAAATACTACAGCCTGCGGGTCCCCACACCCTGGGGCCCTCCGGGTAGCAGAGAGCCAGCCTGCTGCCTGGAGACACTGGGTCAGGATGTGCAGAACTCCATAGCATCCTCCCCCCCTTTCCCTTCCCACTGGGTCTACATCTCCGGGAAGGGCGTGGTCGCTCGGCCCCCACCGGAGGGGATGGGGGCACTAATTGGATTGGAACTCTCCAGAAACCCATCAGCTGGTCCTCTGGGGAGCCGGAGGAGGAAGGCTGCAGGCTGTCTTTGTGATGATGGGTCTCTGCCTCTCTCTGCCCTGCGGCCCGGCCCTGACCTGATGTCTCTGGGTCCCGGTCCGCCCTTCCTAGTGGAGGACACAGTGCAAGCTCCCCGTAGGCTAGAAGCGGCAGGCATCAGATATGAATGGAATGCAGCCATGATGAGAGGTGTGGGCGAGGCTGCTGTGGAGATCTGACCCTGTACTGGAGGCTAGGGAAGGTGTGTAATTGCCTGTGGCCACCAGTCAGTCCAAAACAACCTCCTCCTCCCCCCCTTCTTCTCTCCATCCTCCTCCTCTTCTTCCTCCTTCATTAATATTATTATTTATGTGTATGAGTGTATTACCTGCATGTATGTAAGTGCACCCATGTTGTGCAATGCCTGAGGAGATAAACAGAGGGCATTGGATCCCCTGGATAGGCGTTACAGATGGTTGTTAACTGTCTTGTGGGTGCTGGAAATAGAACCCAGGTCCTCTGCAAGAGCAGCAAGTGCTCTTAACCGCTGAGCCATCTCTCCAGCCTTCCTCCATTATTATTATATGTTTATCTGTGTAGGAGTGTGTGCATATTGTGTGCAGGTGGCTCAAGGCCAGAAAAAGGGAATTGGATCCCCCTAGAGCAGGAGTTACAGGCCGTTGTGAGCCACCACATATGAGTGCTGGGAACTGAACTCAGGTCCTCTGCAAGGGCAGCTCTTAACCTTTGAGGCGTCTCTCCAGGCCCCTTTCTTTTCCCTCCCTCCCTCCCTCCCTCCCTCTACCTGCCTCTGCCTTCCTGATCTGAATTAAAGGCATGTAACAGCTTTTTAAAAATTTCTGTGTGTGTGTGTGTTTCCATTTCTGTGGGCACCCATGCACACATGCCATACACACACAGAGACATACACACATAAACAAATAAAAAATAAAATTGGGGCTGGAGAGATGCTCAGTGGTTAAGAGCACTGGCGGCTCTCGCAGAGGACCCAGCTTCAGTTCCCAGCACCCACATAGCAGCTAACAGCTGTCTATAACTCCAGTTCGAGGGCATCCAATGCCCTCTTCTGACCTCCTCAGGCATTGCATGAATGGGTGTACTTACATATATACAGGCAACACATATACATAAAATAAAAAATAATTTTAAAAAATTAAAAAGCATAAAAATAAATCTTTAAAAGGCAGGATCCATATTATAATTCTGTGATGGTCCACTTTTACCAGAAAAAACAAGACTTCAAGTTGAACACGCCATTTGAATTTAGGTGTCAGTGAGCTGTATAACATGGTCACCGTAGGAGGCATTGGTAGCAACCCTGTGGACTGTGCCTTCAACAAGAAGCTCACCCAACTGTCTGCTGGGAGACAGCATTTTGCATGGTCCGGAAACTGCATACCAGGGGCAGAGGTGTCTGTGGGCACCTGTATGCATGTATATGTGGTGGGGCAGGGGGACATCTCTGTATTCCCAGGTGCAGAGAGGGAGACCCCTTCTTCCAAAAGCCATAACAAGTTTTGGAGAGTCTCAGGAATTCAAACTCCAAGTCTTCATAATACAGATGCACCATCTCCTCCTCCCTCTCTCCGGAGTTCTTTGTGTGTTGGGGTCCCACTGCATGCCAGGCACTGAGCTAGACTCTGCAGATTCAGACAGTCATCATTCTTAACATGAGGATTGACTCAGTTGGTTGAGTGCTTGCCTAGCATGCATGAAGGCCTAGGTTTGATCCCTAACACCACATCACCCATAGCTGAGATGAGAGTGGCAATAACACTTCTAATCTCAGCAGCCTGAGGATCAGGGGGTCAAGGTCATCCTCAGCTACACAGTGAGTTTGAGGTCAGTCTGGGCCAATTGAGACTCTGAATGAATGAACGAATAAATAAGGTAATTCTCTCTCTCTCTCTTCTCTCTCTCTCTCTCTCTCCCTCTCTCTCTCTCTCTCTCTCTCTCTCCCTGTAGCACCACCTAGCCTGGAACTCACAGAGATCTGCCTGCCTCCGCCTCCCAAATGCTGGGATTAAAGGCAAGCACCACCACACCCAGTTCTCTCTATTTTTTAATTTATTACATTTATTTGTGGTGGTGGGGGAGTGTGCCATTGCAGACATGTGAAAGTCAGAGGACACCTTTTGGGAGTTGGTTCTCTCCTTCCATCATGGGGATCCCCAGGGTGGAACTCATGTCAAGTTTGGCAACAAGTACCTTTACTGGTTGAGCCACCTTACCAGTCCTCTACATTTGTAAAGGAAAAACAAAACAAGCCATAGTTCCAGGGACGTTTATCAGGTCTTATGATCACCGGCATTTTTTGCAAAAACTTTTCTGTGTGTGGGTTTTTCCCATGTCATAAATCCCACTTCCCCAAAGTAAAGGAGAGAAATTTACTTTCCCAGACACCCTTGCAACTAAGGTGCAGGCTTGAGACCAAGTTTCCACCCGTGAGGCACGCACAGGAGATGTTGACTTGGGAAAGAACTAGAGAGGCAGACCTGGAGCAGAGACCTGAGAGGGAGCTGGGGGCCTGCAGAGAAACAGGAAGGATGGGTCAGATGTGATGTGTCCTGTCCAGTTGTCAGGGGCAGGGGCAGACAAGCTACAGACAAGAAAGGTTTTGTGGGTTTATATATTTAGTTTTATTTTATGTGTATGAGTGTTTTGCCTGCATGTATGTAAGTGTACCGTGTGCATGCAATGCCTGTGGAGGCCAGAAGGGCATTGGATCCCCTGGAACTAGAATTGTGGAGGTCTGTTAGCTATCATGTGGGTACTGGGAACTGAACCCAGGTCCTCTGCAAGAGCAGCCAGTGCTCTAACCACTGAATCATCTCTCCAGCCCTTTTTTTTTCCCTTCTTTATGTGCATGGTCAGGATCTGAACTCAGATCCTTATATTTGTACAGCAAGCACTTTGCATGCTGAACCATCTCTCCAACTCCCCTCTTTTTTCAGTGTTGCAGAATGGCTTGTCTAATAGTAACAAATGTTAAAGCCAGAAGTGATATACATCAGTAATCACAGCACCCAGGAGGATCAGAAATTGAAGGACAACTTTAGCTACATAGGCAGGCCAGCCTGGGCTACTACGTGAGACCCTTTCTCAAAAATGAAACCTGCTGTGGACTTGCACACCATGTAGTGGAGGTCAGCTTGGGGAAGTAGAAGCCACACTGGACTGTGATCCCACCACCGAGCAGCTGTTCTGGCACGAGCTTAGACTGTTCCTCCCCCTCACTTTGTCCTCTGAGTCCAACACTGGCTGTCCCCCTCACAGGCATACACTGGCTCATCGAGCCTTGTGACACTCTTCTGATGTTTGCCCAACAATCCCATTTTACCTTGAGCAAGGATGTGAGTCATCTATCGTTCAGCCCTCTCCCAGCTCTGGCCACCCCAGCACTGACTGTCCCTTGGCTGGTATGTGCCAGTGCCTCCTTTACAGCTCTTCCTCACAAGGCACATCCTGCTCCCTGTAGCTCACCAGAGACTGTCAGTCCATAGGCAGACTCAGGGATCACTACTGACAGTGTTCTTTGCAAACAGTTTTCTGAAGAAATAAGGTTTTGTTTGTGGCTAAGAATCATTGTTTTTTGCTTTTTGTTTTTTGTTTTTCATTTTTTCCATAAGAAAAGATAAGCTTTTTTTGTTTGCTTTATTATTGTTGGTTTTTTTGTTTGTTTGTTTGTTTTGTTTTTTGGTCTTTTTGCGACACAGTCTCCCCATAGCCCCAGCTAGCCTGGATTCGCTATGGAAACCAGACTGGCCTTGAACTCCCAGAAATCTGCCTGCCTCTGACTCCCAAATGCTGGGATTAAAAGGTGTGAACCACCATGCCCAGCTGGTTGCTTGGTTTTAGAGGCAAGGTCTGTGTAGCCCAGGCTAGCCTGGAACTCCCAGAGTTTTGCCTGCCTTTGCCACCCAGTGGCTGTTTTTTATTGTTTTCTTTAAAAAAAAAAAAAAACAAACCTATTTATTTATTTATTTAGAGTCATGCATCTTATTACGGCTTAAAATTCACTAAGTAGTTGAGGATGACCTTGACGTTCTGATCCTCCTGCCCCTACCTCCCTCATGTTGAAATTACAGGTATGTGCCACTATGCCCAGCTTATGCAGTACTGGATGGAACCCAGGGTTTGGGGCTGGTAAGATGGCTCAGCAGACACACATAAGGACATGACACAAAATAAATAAAAATTTAATAGATTAAAAAAGAACCCAGGGCTTTGCATGCTAGGCAGGGTGAAATTTATTCTTACCCGGGTATGGTGGTGCATACCTTTTAATCCCAGCACTCCAGGTGGATCTCTGTGAGTTCAAGTCCAGCCTGGTCTACATAGTGAGTTCCAGGCCAGCTGGGGCTACAGGGAGACCCTGTCTGAAAAAAAAGACTATATATATATATATATATTCTTATAAATGCGTATGTGAGTGCAGTCACACATGTGCATGGTGCACATGT